CCCATCTTCTTAATCCCCATGCCATAGTCTCTTCCATTTGCTATTTTCATATTCCCTGTCCTGTTTCCATGTTCCTATCCCCAGTCCATGTCCCCATTCCCCATCCCTGTCCCCATTCCCCATCCCTGTCCCCATTCCCCATCCCTGTCCTCATTCCCAGTTCCTTTCTGAGACAGAGAAATTAAGAGTTAAGAATCAAGCAGCAAGAAATGCTTTGAGCAAAGAGGGGCTGACAAAACCCTGTGGGATGTCTGAACATTTCCTGTGCTTACAAGGACAGGAGGAGAGCAAGGCTGCAAGATGAGATAAAGAGTTCGAATGCACAGACAGGGTGCACGGACAAAGGCACCACAGGATGAGGGGGATTCCTCCAGGAAAACTGGGATCCAAGTCTGGAGAATGGCCAAAGGACTAAAGAGAGCATGCACAATGAGACAAGGTGGAAAGTCCAGCTGAGAGGAAGATTTTACTTCATCCCAAAGACCCCCAGACAGCCACCAGAGCAACCAACGAGGGGCAGAGCAGTCACAAAGAGGTTGGAGCTGATTTTAATAGGAAGCTGGGACAGGAGGGGGTAGGAAATGAAAATGTGTTAGGTGTGTTGTGTAGTCCCAGTTTGTAGAGAATAAAAAGAGAGGTGCCAATCTCCACGGGGTGCAGGTTTTTGGAGGAGCTATCCCCCATGCACCTCAGTGCTGAATAAATACACACCTACTCTTAAAACTTATTTTGTGGGTTATAAAAAGGTTTTTCCCCATTTCACCATTCCCAATCCCTGTTCCCATTCCCTGTCCCTATTGAATCATGGTTTTAAAGAGTTAAGATTTTAGCTAAAGGTTAGAAACAATCAGTATTGATCAAAGTGTGAGTTAAATAAACCAATGATAGGTTAATGATCATTAGAAGCTTAAGCTAGAGCTAAGAGAGGTATTGTTCCCAATTATGAGGTTGTTTCAGTTTTGTTTCTAGAAAAGGATGCAGTAAGTGAACTGTTATAAGAACAGATTGCAACCAGCAGAAGAATGGCTAACCTGGATTTATACCAATCCATCACTGTTGGGGAAGATGAAAATAGAAAACCTTATAAATATGATTGCCTTCCAAAAGGTTTTGAGAATATGGAAACTATAAGCGAGATTGAGATGAAAGGCATCTCTGAGACACCAAAGCTCAGTTACTGAACAACTAGAAAACATTAGTGTGGCCAGCTGGAAATAATCCCCTCTGGATTGAACAATTCCTTCTGCTTGCAGACAGGTCCAAGGGTCAGGAAAGACCCTGTTAGCTTGGTAAAGAGGGTCCAAAGAGCAGTTTTTAGGGTTTAAATGGAACACAGTATGGAATTGTAGTGATTCTTACAGGCTGTATGGAAATGCTATAGGATTTGTATCTTGCATTAGATTGGTGAGTGAAAATTAGAATATTCAACACAGAGGAAGATTTATTGTATTGTAACAGGAACCTCGCTCTCTTACCTCCCTGATGCTGACTTTTACTTCTTACCTCTTATTTCTTGCTCTCTCTTTCCTCTTTTTACTTTTGCCCTCCTGCTCTTGGGGGCCTGCTCTGAGCTGGGGCTGGCAGCTCCAGGCAGGGCCCTTTTACCCACGGCAATAAAATCCAAGTTCCAACACGTGGCTTTAGAGATCTCTTTGTCACTCCTGACCATCCAGACTCGAGGCTCCTACACATCACCAAGCAGGGCAGCTTGGATTGTGCCAGAGGGTCATGGAGACCTGATGAAGACATTTCTTACTTCGTCCATCAAGACCACTTGTCCCAGTTTGAGACCACCGACCCAATTCAAGAGAGGAATTGCACACCCATGATGGACTATTATTCTCATTTTAATGCAGAGCAGGGATGGGAGGTGCTGGGGTTATGCATTTCTATGGGATGTCAGACTTTGGGAAATAAACAGAGGACAAGGAACCTTGTACAGGACTGCCACATCTCTAGGGGACAACCCCTGTGCAGCCCGTCAGTGCCTTAATAAACAAACCACTTTGTAACTTTAATTAATTACAGAGTCTTTGTCCGTGAACAAATCAGTTTTAAC